ATATATATATATATATATATATATATATATATATATATATATTTTCCTTGCTAACAACAAAATGAGATGATACAAAATGTGAGCGACAGACAGGATTAGGCCATATTAACCTAGATACAATATACAATCGGACAAATTGAATGCACATAATTAAATTTCCGTTATATTTGATGATCAAAATTTGTTCTTCCAGTTCCTGTTCTTTTTCGAGATCATGAACATAGTATATGAAACAGACTGTATTTCCATTAATATATATGTACTCGTTTCCTTCATGTACTTTTTGCTAATAGTTTATTTATATTTTTAGGGTACTAACTAAAGTGACATGGAAATGGCACATAATTGATGATAAAGTTATAAAAATGAGATTTATGTGTGTGTAGCTCGCGCGCAGTACTTCATGGCATCTGGTGCTGAACCCAAGAAACAAATCTGACAGAACGCATGTGAGCTTTGAGTTCTCCATGTGACACTTAGCACCCCCCAGCTTTGCTGGGCTGCAACGTGGACAAATGTGCCCCAATGGGACAGGTGTCAGGACCTAGCTACCTCAATCATTAATCTGTATGTATTAATATTTTCTACCAGGACTATTAAATTTATTATTCTAAAAGGGGTATGAATGCCGTCATTAATAACGTCCATGTGGAGCTCGAGTCCATTACTTTTTTTTTTTTTTTACTGTCGTAATTCATGTCAAAATCTTTATTTTCTTATGGTTTTTCAAAGTGTGTTGTAGATGATATTGTTGATAATGTTACGATATGAGTTGTGACACGATTTGCAACACTACAGTTTGAAACATCTTAGTAGACATTGAACGCAATATAATTGTTCACATGATCTTCATCTTTCTAGTTGCTTTTAGAATCCTCATCACTCCATGTGACGTTGAGAGACTTCTTCCTCTTTTTGAGAGTGTTAGCACACTCAGACTGAATGTGACCGTAACCGTTGCACTCCCGGCATTGAATTCTCATATTCTTCTTCTTATCATTGGAGGAATTTATAGCTCTCTTATTTTTCTGAAAATTGTTAGAGTTGTTGAAAGTTGGAGTTTGATTCTTCTCGTTGAACTTCTTTATCACCTTGTTGAAATTTTTAGTCAATTGAGCGAGAGACTCCGCTAAGTCTTCATCTTCTTCTTCAACATTATCTTCCACTTCGGCTTGGAAAGCAATCCCCTGAGAAATCTCATTCTCCTTCTTATTTTGACTTAGATTCATTTCAAATGTCCTCAGTGATCCCATCAATTCATCAAGTCTCATAGTCTCAGTGTTTTTTACCTCTTCAATAGCAGTGACTTTGTAGGCGAATCTCTGTGGTAAAGATCTCAACGTCTTGCTGACAAGTTTTGCCTCGGGAATTTTTTCATCAAGAGCAAAAGATTCATTAGCTATATCACACAACCTTGAATTAAATTCAAAAATAGTTTAACTTTCATGCATTCGGAGATTTTCAAACCTGATTGTGAGAATATTCAATTTGGATTGTTTGACGGCGGCAGTTCCCTCGTGAGCAATCTCCAAAATCTCACATGCTTCTTTTGCCGATTCACATGTAGATATCATCTTGAACTGGTTGATGTCAACTCCATTGAATATTGCATTGAGAGCACGAGAGTTGTAGATGGCCAACCTGTCTTCATCAGTACTCCATGACTCTTCAGGTTTGAGAGTCTCTTTTCCTTCTGCATCTTTAGTTACTGGATGTTTCCAGCCATTCAAAACAGCACGCCAGGCCTTCTCATTTTGAGCCTTGATGAAAGCCTTTATCCGGGCCTTCCAGTATGAATAATTCGAACCATCAAGCAGAGGGGGACGTACAACTGAACCTCATTCCTTTAGAAAATATATTCCAAGCATAATAGATCAACTCTCCAAGATCTCACCGAACTTATGGTCAGTGAACCGCACCGCTCTGATACCACTTGTTAGATCTGGGTTAATTACGTTCTGTTGCTCGAGTAAAATAAAGTGCAGAAAGTAAAGGAACACATAATATGATATCGTAGTTCGGTGCACACACCTATTCTGCGGGGCCACGCCCAGACAATAAACAGTTTCACTATGATTTAAGAATTACAATCTTGACGGACTTATTGAACTCTCACAATGACACTGTTTAGCGTGTACCACACGTCTTCACCTTTAACTGTTGAACTCTCTTTAGTTGTTCATACTTTTAATGAGAAAAAACATAAACTACATATTGTTCTCCTTAAGCACTGATTCTCTATCACAAGACTTTTTCCTGTAGTCAACCCACCTTTTAATGCAGAGCCACTTCCCATATAAATCCATTCCACGTATCTCCTTTTTCAACTTTTGAACCTATATTCAGTTACCAAAAAATCCTCCTTAGCTTTATCTGCAATATCTAATATTTTCTTAGCCATCTCCACGTCAATGCCTTATCTTTCATTATAGCAAGTTATCTTTGCATTTTTTTTTACCAAGTCAAATTTCAAGTTCCAATTTTCATGTGCAGCTCAAGCTTAATTGTGTAGCTCACGTGAATACATACATACATATATATATATATATAAGTCATTCAACTCTCCTAACAATAATTGGATGAAGCCAAGAATTCAAATCTAAAAATAACTTGATCTTCATGCAAGCTTTATCTCCTATTTAAATTCAAATAACCAATGTCTTATCTTCTTTTGACCAAGATTTTATCCTTATCTCTCAAAATCTCAACTCAACAAAATCTGCAACTTTAACTTCAAATCTGATTCTGAATCTTCTTCTGCAATACAAAATCTTCTTGAACATGTTTTTTGAATTTTTACAATATTGCTAATAAATTGCCAACTAATAAAAATACCTAACAGCTTCCTTAACGCTTTCTCCTCTGAGCACATCGTGACAGAGTTGCCGGATTTATCTGTTGGGCCCGTTTCCAATTTAATTACATTACTGAGATTTGCTGGGTCAGTGTCCTTTTTATCGTTCGTTTCGTCGTTGGATTCCACCACCTGATAAAGTCGTTCGCCCTTGGCACTGTCTCCCTTACTGCACTCTGATTTGAGGGCATCTGCCACTACCCTCTCAATGCCTTTAATGTTGTCCTGCATTGTTATTTGTACGCTCAATACTCGACCAACTTCCGCATCGAGTGCAGAAACTTCACTTCTCATGACGCTCATGTCCGATTCAATGCCGCCCAGCTTCCCCTGCACTTCATCCGTCATCGAACAACCGTCCGCTTCTTTCTTCTAACATCATATATGTCACGAAATATCATTATAAATATAACTGTCCGCTTATCCATGCAGGAATATGTGTCTCTACCGGTTTGCCCTTCTAAATTTAACCCATACATCACCACCAAATTAGAAGCAACAACTACTGTAATTTACTTGTAACGTCTTCAGCTACTGTTTCACAACGTAATAACATTTCCCATACAACCTCTGTACCATAAATATATTATGGTTAAAATTATTATTGAATTGATCTAAATGATGTATTTTTAGATTCTATTCATTTCACTAATTTAAGTTTTTAATTTAAGTTTTATTATAGTTAAAAACTCTCATAAAAAGTTATATTTAATTTTTTCTGCTACAGTAAAAAAAATTTATATAAAATCACATTTTAATTCAAATTAAAAATTCTAATCCGTGAACTAAACGTGTCTTTAATCTTCTATCTACTCACTACCACAAAACATATAACTACATAAACAATCGGAGTCGTGCATTGCAAACGACGCATACGAATGACGGTGCACATATTTAACAATAGTGAAATCAAAATCAAACTACGGCCCCGTTCATTTCGCCTATTCGAGTTTAGAATTCGAGTTTTGCTACAGTAAAAAGCTCTCAGAAACAGTCACATCTAACTTTTTTACTACAGTAAAAAGTTCTCACATAAAATCACATCTCAACTCAAATTACAAACTCGAATCAGCGAAGTGAACGGGCCCTACATATTTTCAACAATCAATGCAGTCCACGTCCAAAATTAAGCGACGGATTCAATCAACATTCACAAATCTATCTACATAATACCCAATACTCATCTTTCTTTCCCCCAATCTCTACGTTATTTCAAATTGGAAATAATTAACGGCTATTATAATGTGATTTTACCTCTGACATCGCGGTTGATGGGATATTCCCGGCTAAACTTCATATGTTTCCCGAATCTACAACATAAATGACAAAGCATCACACGTGTTATTGAAAACATCCACGTCATAATTTCGCACTTAAGATTGGGATTACGTGCGGTCGACTCCATCTTTCTCACTACACCTCACACCAGCCAGCCAATAAAAACTGCCACACTAATGGGCATACCCGTATGCCCAAACTCCTAATCGCACGAGAGACAATCCCTAAAAAGAATAGAACAATTTTAAAACAAAATAAAATATATTTCAATAATGTTTGAGTTTTTTTTTAAATCAATTTTCATACTATAATGTTTGTGTTTTTTTAAATTAATTTTCATACTATTTTTGTTATATGTATTTAAATCCTTATAAAAAAATCAAAATAGTCCCTTTCGAATTTAATAAAATTTCTTTTTGATATTTAATATTAAATGAATCAATGTGGGCTTAAAATAGACTAGACGATTAAGTATGTGAGCCGACATGACACGTCACATAAGATGAGCCAACGGGCCATGTTTGGCCAATAGACGGGGGCATGGCACAACACGAATAAATAGTAGATCGTGTCAAGTAAAGTACGATAGCACAATTATGAATAATTAAAATAGCAAGCACGACTTATTTATCAACTCTATTCTTAAAAAAGATTAAATCTAAAAAAACTATTTTTAAATTCTAAATTACATGTATTATATAAGGGTCCGTTTAGTTCGTTGATTCGAGTTTTTAATTCGAGTTGAGATGTGATTTTATGTGAGAGCTTTTTACTGTAGCAAAAAAGTTAGATGTGACTGTTTGTGAGAACTTTTTACTGTAGCAAAATTCGAATTCTAAACTTGAATCAGCGAAATGAACATGGCCTAAATATTAAAAAAGTTTTCTCTTCCCGCCCCAAAGGCAACTTTTTTTTGTATGTGATCTTTTTTTAAAATGTTATTTAATTTAGAAAAAACAAAGTGTGGTTTAAAATTATCAGTTTGAATTATCTTTTTGTTGAAAGAGTTTCAATTAATTAATTAATAAGAAGAGCGAGATTAAAAAATTTGTTTTATTGTTTATTTATTACCATATCAAATGAAAATTAAAATATATATTTTTTTTAAAAATGTAAATTTTAGAGCGATGGATAGACGAGCAATTATGCATCAAATTGTCAATCTTTGTATAATATGTCTCCATTTTTATAGAAACCCTGACAAAATGAGTTTTTTTTTTTTTATTACTGATTCATACTTAAGGAGAAAGAATGACAAAGTATTACACATCATAATTCAAAGAGAATTTATATAATTAATCCAAAAAAAATATTACAATCCCAAAATTTTTAGATCATTACATTTGATCCTACTGAATTTTTGAATAATAAATTTATTGATAGCTTAGAGATATTTGTGGTATTTATATAACGGTAAATACATATTTATCAAAAATTTACGTTATGTACCTCCAATCTCCAAGATTTACTAATTTTGTTACGTATTACCATATTAAAAACACCTGAAGAGTTTATTATTTACCGAATAATAAAAAATTCATTTATACAATTATTTAAAAAATTTTAAATTTATTTTAAAAAAAATGTGTAAAAATACAATTTACAAAAAAAACAAATTAACTAAGAACACATTTAAAAAAAATTATTTTAACCGATCAAAAATAAAATAGAAATACATGGAAAAAAATTACACTCAAGAGTAAAGTAGAGAACAATATATTTTTTAAAAACACAAAAATTAAAATGTAAACAAAAATTCACAAAAAATAAATAAAAATTAAAAAAAAAAAGTGTTGCAGCCACAGAAAAGAGCTTTGACTTTGTATTGTTGGATTAAAACCCATATTTCCTACCTTTTCTCAAACAAAAATTTCTCTATTTTATAACGTGAACATGAATTATTACTGCTATATGACATACATTAGAGAAGGCAAAGAATAAATTTAGGAGGCGGGGATGAAAATTTATCTCAGTTAATGAATTGCTACCACAGAACAAGCACAAATTACAATCAACATCAAACAAAAAGAAAATTTACAACAAGGTCAACTAATCACATGCTAGCTTTGCTGCCATTGTAACTGTAACCTGCAATCACACACAAGTGTTTATTAATCGGTAACACCCGAAGAATTCTCTAATAAAATTCTCTCTCCAAATAAACCCCATTCAAATTATTAAATACTTTAGGCAACAATTCTACTTTTATAATATGTGTGTGTGTGTGTATATTTATATACGTAGGCAGCAAAACCCTTAATTTCCCTTTACCTGTTAGATGAAGACATGAACGATGGAAGTATATAGCTTGGTCATATACCATGCCAATCCTCTCTCATTTATAGAGAAGCTGGAACTGATTCTGGAATAATCTGAAATTCTGAATTCAATAAACTTGTGTATGTACACGAACTTGACTGCCAAGAAGAAAGAAAAGAGTCAGCAAAGGATGTGTGCTAAAGTAATCTAGGAGTAAACTTTAATAATTGGAGTGCCACAAACCTGTAAGGAGTATGTAACGGCAGCTACACATACAATAACATTATTCCCCTCCCACATTCGACGTCGATTTATTAACTAATGAATCAATAAATGAAGCTAAATAATTTCTCAACTGCAAAACTACTGAAGATAACAACCTGCACATAAACATGAAAAGCAAAAATAAAGTCAGAAGACCTAGAAAGTGATAAAATAGTAACCGTAACAGAAATAAGAATTGGAGAAAGCAGTTACCTAAGATTCACATCGTTATGTATCTGCGAATTTCTCGTTTAAAAAATAAAGCTAGATAGATTTATGCACAATAGGCAGCTCCCAGTTCTTGGGTTGTCGCTACTAGAACAGATAACAAATAACCACCCCACAACGAAGTTGTATTTTCTTTTTTCTTTTTTTAATTTATTTACATTGACGATTGACCAAAATCCTCAGTTCCATGGTGAAGAAGATCTACCCATATGCAAAGGAGCTTGCAATCTTCTCTCGTATCAGTTGAGGCATACACTTCCAAGTAAATAGTGAAAAACCTCGGGACTGTGCAGTGCATTGCCAGAAAGCTGATCTTGAGAACCATCAAAAACTTATGAACACGGACAGAGAAATCAAGCCTGCGCTACAAGCAGTGCCCAAAAGAAGTATCCAGTAACCGAGCAGAGATAACAGGTTGGCCTCTTATCACATCCTCAAGGCTTCACCAACCGATCCCGCAACCTGGACTTAGAAAATTTTCCACCACCACTTGGAGTCTTCAACGGCTAATGACCTCCATGGCAAGCCGTACCAAACGTAGTAATCCATCAACATCCTGGAAATTAAAATCAAGAGCCCTTTTAATGGAAGAGATACTCTCCCCATATTTGGCTTCTGCCATATTTACATTAGCAGCCGCAAAAGCAATCCGTGATTTTCTAGATGCTTCCATGGCAAAATTTACATCCTGTGCCTGCAATTCATCACATCAAATTATGATATGCATCTAAGTCAACTTTAATAATTATGCAGTATTATACAATAACACGTGGCCTGAATTTTATTGCTAAATAAGTGAATCTTTTATCAGTATGCAGTAAACTACATGATAAATTGACATCTTGACAAACATATTTTACAGCTAAGCTATGAATGCAACCAATAATATATAGGACATAGTAAAAAATAATCACGTGCTTCCTGATGAAAACGTGAAGGAAAAAGATGTGATTTTTCGGACACCCAATCCACTTTCTAGCTTGCTATGAAAGTGTAATATCCATCAAAATTAGCCTCAATTTTCTTTTTCATAGTATTTCTGTACCAGTTAAAAATGATAGAAAACAAGTTAAGCTCTAAGACAAAGTTTATGCACTCACAAAACTGAGCAGCCTCACAAAGTTGGGGCGGTTTCGGGCAGCAATAACATGGTTTGTAGCAACCTGTGGAGAACTAACACCCTTAGATAAGGCAACCTTGTCCACTGTTGTGTGGTTGTTAAAATTATCAACATCAGAGGCAGAAGAAGATGGAGATTCACCTGGTGAAATGCAAGAACAAGAATGAAGTCAGATTAAAAAAGAAAAAAAGTTTGCAAGAAGCCTTCTCCCATTAACCAGCAAACAAAATGAAGACAATCATTTGATGAATAAGAGTCAAAAGATGTAAAATATTTCCTAGCTATTACTATTGAGATTTTTCTGCCTCCCCCATAAAACACTATATTTTGTAAATCACGGCTTGTATTAATTACCAAGAGGAACCACTTGGAGAGCTGTCTGCAACTCATGCCGATCTCTGCTAGCACTGGTATGGGAAGAATAAATTACCCTCATGTACGCCACCTCCATGCATTTGTAGGCCAGAGCAGCGCCGGCCATATCCTTGGATTTCTCATATTCATGGGCACAAAACCTATTAATGGCAAAATAGATGAGTAAAAAGCAGAGGCCAGACTTGCAGTGGCATAAAAAAAAATAAAAATAAAAATAAAAATAAAAAAATAAAAAATCACCAATGTGGGAGAAGGCATAATCAAGATGGGTTCACAGCTACCAAAAAAAAAAAGAGGGAGGGTGGGTGGGTGGGTCTTGTGTGAGTTAGTATCAAAGTTTCAAGTTTCAATGGCATCTTCCAAACCAATTCGGAAGGAATTACTTCAGTTACTACTTTGAAATGAGAGAAAACCAATAAAAATGAATACAATTATGGAGATGACGGTAATTACAAACTTCTATGATAACAAATGTAATTACAAACTGAAAAGAAAACATGAGTATTTGAAATCCAAAACTCTAATGTCATGAAATCTATAGTAAATCAGAAGCCAATTCATAAACCACAAGACTCAAAGGGTGACATATACTTAAACTTACTCGCATAACTTAGCAGTTTCACTATAAGTTTGTCGTGACCGAACCATATCATTGTGATTGGTACTCTCGCTGCAACCAGATTCCAACAGAGATGCTCCATGAAGAAACTTGAGGGCTGCTTGAAAGTAGAGTCCTGTCCTCTCATGATTTGAGCCAGAGCTCTGCAGAAGATTGATATTGTGAAGAATTAAGAGACAGAAAAATATCAACACCTATATGAAAGGCAAAAAAAAAAGCAAAAAAAAAAAAAAAAAAAAAAAAAAAAAAAAAAAAAGGAAAACTAGGATGACCTTGAGACGATCAGCCATGTGTTTTAGATCTTTTGCTTCTTTCAAAGCATTGGTAGCAGCGTGGCTGGGCAAATCTTTTCTAAGCGGACTTGGGACCTCAATATCCCTGGCTCTATGTCCATTTTTAGTTGGATGCCTTGAACTGATCTGCTGAGATCTATTCTGGTTATCAGCCTTTTTGATATGTTTTTGCACTTTGAGCGCATTGTCGCCTTCAGCTTGCAAAGTCTCTGCTCCATTTCCTCTGTAGGCCCCTGTGCCTGGCTGGGAACAACGATTAAGCGTACCACTCTGAGGTCCTCCAGAGGGTGGTAAGAGTACTGACCTGTCCCCACTAGAGACTGTTTCCACTTGATCAGTCTTGTCAGAAACCAACCTCTTTGAAGACCTCTCATCATTGCTCTCTGGCAAAAGATTCTGCTTCGGAGTTGACATAACATCTTTCCGGCAAATTGCATCTACTTTTTGATCAGGCCCTCCAACTTTTAGCTGACTTTCTCTTTTCAAACCCTCACTCAACATTTTTCCTGTAACAGCTTTTCTACTGGAAACTTTCTCCTCAATCTCCTCAGACTTAACCCCAAGCTTCTCATGCAACTTCTTTTTACCATCCCTTGGTTTTAAGTCATCAGAAGGTGAGCAAGCATGCAGTTCATGGACATTAGAACTTTTGACCTGGACTGCATCAGAATCTGATTTAAAGCTCCTACTCTTGTCAAACCTTGAAGAGGATCCCTTTGCAGACTTCCTCGGGCGAGATCCATTTGCATGGTAACTGCATTCATTCTGTTTATCTTCATCACCAAAGTGATCTGAAGCCAGCGGTTTAGTAGGATGTTGAGTTTCTTGGCCCAAATTATCCAAAGCACCATTCATAGAATGGTGGTTCTCAATATCAGGAGAAGGCACAGTCTGTCTTCTAGCTTTACTACTCGATGTGTGTTTAAAATCCTTTTCCTGAAGTTCTTGTGCTGAGAACTCAAGAAATCCATGATGAGCCACATTGGGCATGTTGTCCTTTGCTCCTGGCCGAGTATGATCACTCCCACCCAAATCTTCACCATCAGAGCTTCTTTTTGGACTGCGCATTGCAAAATGCCCAACATGCTGAAATTCATCTTTCGTCAAGGCATCCCTACCGGCTGATGTAAACTTGTCTGGATTTGTAATTCTCATAGGTGATGATGACACTGATTCTACTGGAGAGCCTTTTGCCTCCTGAAAGCTGGACTTGGTTTTATGTGACCCAGAAACTTTGGAAGAACTTGAAGTGGCAGCCAAAGAAGCCTGCATAGCTCTCGAATCCCTTTTTGACAAATCCATACCATCCAAATTGTGCTGATTAGTGATGTCAAGGTCCTGTGCACGTAGCTGATTCTTTGAATGACTACGTTTTCTGTCTGATCTACTGCTGCCTTTGCTTGCACTAGACTCCTTTCCCTCGGATCTAGATGTTCTCAGCTTCTTTTCCTTCCTGTAGTCACTATCACTAATCTCCTCCTTCACAAAAGGCATACTATTAGGTAGATGTCGTTCTGTACTTGGGTAGGAACCATTCTGAAGTTCCTTTGTCTTCCGTTTTTTTGCATTGTCTCTAGTTTCAGCATTACCTAGGTCTAAGGAGCTGCCGTCTAAAGGAACTCCATCCTTGACTTTTGATTTCGAAATCGAAACTTGTACCTTGTCCTTTGAATCGAATTCTAATTCCTTGGAAAATGAGCGGTCAGAGTATTTGGTTCTATGCTTCCCTGCTGAAGATGTTGGAAACCCGCCGCTTGAGCTAGGACCCACCTTCCCAACTGCCCCGCTGTGATCTGATGTCCAATCATCATCAATAATATTCTTAGCCTCGGTCTTTATTTTTTTGGAAGCTCTAGAGGAATCTTGATCAGAATCTCTTCTGCTTTTCATCTTTGAATTCTTGGTATCACCTAATCAGATGTTACACATTAATAAACTCTTTTGAGTTAAGGAGTTCTACAAGAACAAAAGAATCTGGATCAAACAAATTACCTCCAAAACCATTGAGTTCAACTGCTTTGTTCTTTTCTTTATACTTATGTTGATTCTCCACTGTGAAGTCATTAGACTTGCTTAGTTGCTGAAAATCAGGTTCATTCACCAGAGGAGAATTGTTTGCATCATTCAAGCTTCTATTCTTTGCTGATGCCTGCATACTTCTCTTCATAGAGTTTGACAACTGAGTGGGACTGTCTGTATTTGCAGCATTTGACGTTACTTTTAATCCATGTTTCTTCTTACCACTGAGATTACGTGGATTTTGGTCAGGGTGCCTAAAATTTGTCAATGTGGCTCCACTGAAGATCGCACTGGGATTACCGTGAAGATTGGTTTGACTCTCAGGAGCAGCAGGTTGGTATAGTGCAATAAGAGCTTTCGTCGTTTCCTCCTCAGTAAAACTACACCGATTCATTCCAGGCCTACATTTTTATAAAGAGCTCAAACTTGAGAGAGAGAGAAAGAGAGAGAGGGGAATCAACCATCGTTAAAAGCTGTACTGATAAAAAAGTTATACAGTACAGCGTTCCAAATTTATTGATCCAATATATTATGTTAAGAGGAATTAGAGAAAAAAAAAATTCTGAAAATGAAACTTACAGCCAGTTGAGCATGTTACACACCCACTTCTCAGGTAGATGGTCAGGATTGGTACCAAGTGGAAGAAGCCTCCATGTCTGACACTTGTCACATTGAACCCAATTTTCCTCTATCACAACAGGAGCTGCTGTGGGCGGAACTACATCAGAAAGAAGTCCATTTCCAGATCGTGGGCTTGAAGCTGTTAAAGGGACTGCCTCTGACGTCCATGGCTTATCAACTTTCTTACCACTTGGTCGCTCCTTTGGTGGACCATTGATTACAGATATGCTCTTTGCCCGCATATCAGACTCCCTATGCTTATCTTCAGAAGGAATTTCCAACAAATCCATTGGGTTAGCTTCTTCCAATGCTCCCAAGAAGTCTTTGTATCTGTCTCTGGATTTCCTGAGATCTTTTTGCGATTTTCTATGTTCTGCATCAGCATTAGTGTCCATGTTGGTGCTCTTCTTTGATTTGGGAATTGAAGAACCAACCCTAAAGGTTTCTCTCGGTACCTCTCCAGCCACGGTGCCATGACTTCCCTTTGATTTCCTTTTTTCCCCAGGAAACGGATTGTCCTTCCCATGAGATAATCTTGTACTCTCTTGTTCATGGGATATGGCCTTCTTATTAGCCTTTTGCTTGGTAGAATCCATGCCCTCAGTATTTAATGCTTTCTTGGCCTTTGCGACATTTGAGTCAGATTTTACTGTGTCATAGATTTTCTCTCCTTTTTGTTCGCCTTCTTTACTTGGAACTGACGTTTCATTGATGGAGCTTTCTTTTCCTTCTACCAAGCCCTTTCTAGCTGAAATGGCTTTCCGCTTTTCAACCCGTCCATCCTCTTGGGTGAATGTTGACTCCAGTTCTTCTTCTGCTTGATCAGAAAAGACTGTATCTTTTAAAACGCTATTGTTAACATCTCTGCTTCTTTTCATGTCACCAGCAGTTGAATACGAATTAGAGAGAATAGGAAGCTTCAAGGTATTAGAAACAAGTTCCTCGCAAGCTAATGCATCAAGATCAGGTTCCTTCCTGGATAAATCCCGCATTCGAGCATCCTTATCATTCCCACTCTTAGATTCTGCTGAATAATCAGTTTTTTCAACTAATTTCATGTTCTTCTCCCCTAATAATTTCCCATCGCTCTTCATTGTATCAGATCTGTTTATTACGTCAGAGGTTTCCACACCACCCATTGGAATAGGTACATATCTAGCCTCTTTTCGAAGCTTTTCCTTTTCCATCAAGTGGATAAGATCATCATGAAGAGGTGATAAAAGTAGACCTCCCTGAACTGGGAAGGATGTCATAATCTGGCCCAAAACATCACAAAAAGAAACACCTAATGACCACCTTAGCCACATTATAAACAAGAAGACAAAATAATATTGCTAGAAGGTGATTCACCTGAAGAATGCTAGTTGGAGATTCGAATGAGGCATCTCGGTGCTCGTGAGATATACCCTCACTTTCTGAGGGACTGTCATCTAATGAAGAAGATGGTGAATCATCAAGGCCAAGCCCACTGTAGATTGCTGCATTTTTTCGTGTCGACAAGTTATCAGAACCCACTTTTATTCGCACCTTCAGCGTTTTCTGGTCTGATGCACTTGAAGGTTTCTTGCTTTTAAAATCAAGTCTAGGTGCTACTTCTTCAACAATACAAGCAGCTGCCATGCTTACTTCTTGTTTTCCCGACTCATTTACTGATGATGCCTTTACTGCAGGGACTGAGGTGGAACTGGTAGAAGCAGGTCCACGACCCCCCGATGGAGGGGCAGTTGAAGAAACAACAGAGTTACAATGGCCACCCTGGAAGGATACATGATAACGTCCTTAATAGGAAAACTAGGGGCACCAAACTAATATAAGACGTTTTAGATTAACCAATATATGTTGAAACGTGCATTTTCTTTTTTTCCTTTTTTTTTTTCTTTTTAAAGGATGAAACACGCATTTTCTACATAGAATACAACAGACATATTGCCATCAATACAAGAACATAGAAACTGTTGCTACACTAGAAGTACCTCCAGATTAAAATTGTTTGGTGATCTGGATGCACTATAGCTCTGAACTTTTGGCGGAGTCTTCTGAGACCAAACAGGAGAACGCAGATAGGTAGGTAAAAATGAGCCATACCCGCCAAATTTTGCCCCTATTTTTAAAAGGAAAAAAATAATTTAAAAACAAGTAACACCATGGTTTGAACCTAAAAAGTATGGTTATGTTGTTTCTTCACTTACCCAAATTTTCTGCAGAAACCCCACCTTCAAAATCTTTTTGAAAGTGTCCCAGAACATCTTGAAGTTTCTCATCCTAGTAGACAGTACAGCAGTATATCATACCAAAGACAACGGTACAAGAACAGCTAGAAACAAGGAGTCAAACTCCTAAGATACTTCGTCATACAGCAAGCAACAAATAAAAACCAAAAACAGTCACAATTCAAACTCAACAACAGTTGGAACAGTACCCTCAACCTCAAATACCAGCTCTAGATTCTGAAAGGTTCCTTGATAATGCATTTGACTTACAATTATGTATCCCATAGACCGCCATTTTTAACATACTTAGATCAAAAAGCAAAACTCAGAAGCTGGACCAAACCATCTGCGATACTCAAAATAAATTATGCACCTACCTAACAGAAAACTTCATGGACAAACAAGCTAGCTAACATTCTCAAATCTAACCACTTGACATTAAGCAAACACTCTAAATGTCACTTCTGTGTGCCCCCGAGAAAACGTCAAAGCAGGTAATTTATCCGTTTACATAAAGAATTAAGCTGAATGCATACAAAAACAATGTCCAACACCATAGTTTCTGCTCAATTCACCATGTTTTCTTTTATCGGATGTTTTGCTAACCATAATATTTCTCAATTCCAAGCACTGAATTTTAAAATCAAATGCAAATTTAGCTTCCCTAAAACTGCTAACTACGTAAAGTCTAAGACTTGAACTCCAACCAAATACTAAGGCTTGGATCTAAAGGCCGAGAAAAGTCAACCCCAAAAATTTCAGCAATTCCTAAGACCCCAAATTTTTGGAAAACATAAAAACTGTAGTATCAACTCATAAACACAAACAACACAAAGACATTATACAGCAAAAACAGCTTACGATATAAGAGAGAGCAACATCGGGATCGATGCTCGCATCGTAATCGTCGTTGTTGTTCTGGTAGAAACACGCCTCGCCTTCTTCAAGCTCGGTGTCGTCCATCTCCGACCGACGACCACTAAACCCTAACCCTAGCTCCTGCCTCGCATCCCTACCGCTACTTCCCACGGAAATCATTCAAAAAACACGCCCAAATCAAACCCTCAATCTCTCCGAAAGCCGAATCCGAGCTCGAATTTCGCCATGATTCACCTCGGAGAATCAAAATCCACCGAGAATTCGAACAAAAACAATCAAATGAAGACCCGATCACAAGTCCCACCAACAATATAGCAGACACAATTCTGCTCTGCACTCTCTTTTTTTTTTTGTTTGCCTTCCCTTTCTAGAAGAACAATACCAAACAAAAAACAGAAAAGGAAAATTCAAACTTTTAATCCAAAACCAAAAACTTTTTTTTTTTGTTTTTGCTTCAAAATTATCTTAGAAGAGAACCTTTTTGGTGCGATTTGATTTCTCAATCAAGCTGAGAAGAATCAAGCAAAAGCCTTTCTCTTTCTCTTTCTATGTTTTTGTTTCTCTCTCTTGTTTTCGGTCCATACAGCAGCCGCGTTTTTTTTCCTGTTTTTTATTTATTTTTATTTTTTCTCTCTCTGTGTTAAAAAAGGAGGAAATAAAATATTGGTATTTAATTTTTTTTATTATAATAAATAAATTTTTAAAAATATCATATTTTAAATTTACGAAGCCAAGGAGGCGTTGGTTTTTATGTTGTTGGGAATAGAGACTCGGATCTAATCAAAACCAGGAGAAAAACTCTTTAAACCGTTGTTACTGAAGAGACATGTTTTTGGGATTTGCGGTTTAGCACTTTCATTTTTGGCTATTTGCTAAAATGGCTCGACTTGAGACTCCCTCAAGCAAACGCAACAGGCGCGTGAAACCACGTTCCCTTTCATTTTTAGGGAAAAAAATTTTGCCTTTGTTTTAGCTAAAAAAAATAAGGATTAAAGATTATGTCAATTTCAATTAAAAATCTAAGGAATGAGATTTTTTTATTAATATTATTTTATTGAGAGAGAATAAATGTTACGTTTTAAAAATTAAATAAAGTATTATAATAGTATAATTTAGGAGGATTTTTTGTAATTAATATAGAAAAATAATGATTTGAACTAAAAAAAATTTCCTCCAAATTGAGCACTTTCTTTTTTTATCAATTTTTTCTTTTTTTTTTTTTTTTTGCTTTCTAAAATGTATAACAATTTGAGTCATTCACCATTTATACATGATTTCAAAGAATAAAATCAAAAGAATGTTTCTTTAAAAAAATAAAAGAATGTTTGAATAATTTTATTTTTATTAGTCGCTAGCTTATAATCTTTCAAGAATCCAGGTATAATCAGTTAAAATTAAAAATAAACTAAAATATTGACAAAATAATGTAATACTAAATTTTGGAGCTTGATTAATGGTTCACTTTTCTTTTTTGTTTGCCTTTATTGACCTTTCTAATTTTTTGTCCAAGGTTAAATGAAATGAGAACAAGTTTGATTAAAAAAAATGAGAAAAGGTAGAACCAGAAATTGGTGTCCTTATTCCGAAAGCGCGTGGGGCTGCAAAACTCTATTAGACGATTTTCAGGTGGCGGAGTCCAGCATTGCTTAATGTCCAGCTCAACATGTTTAGTTTGTTGTTTTTTTTTTTTTTTTAAGTACATGATTAAACGTTGTTTACTTCTTCACTATATGTCTTTTATTAATTGTGAATATATTAATTAAAACTGGATAATCCATTCCCACGTAGGAACATTTTTTGTTTTGTACATCATAGCTTAAAAAGAGAAAAACAAAAATCAATACCCCACCGACACCGTTCGGTGAAGAGAAGCTCTTCAAACCGCACAAGTTTGACCCGTAGCCAGGTTTTAAATTTTTAGTGCATTTTTGCCCTTTGTGTGGTTCTGGTGGGGGCAAAAGTTTGTTTGGGTGTGTTTAAAAACAAAACAAAAAAAAAAAAAACTCATTTCTTTTTGTGATTACTGCTTGTCTTTAAGTACCAAATCAAATAGTTTTTTTTTTTTTTTAAAAAAAAAAAAACAGCAAAATAATAGTTAAAAACGAAAAGAGAGGAAAAGACCATTTGAAAAATTATTTTCCACTTTTCTTTTACCATCTTTCTTGATTTGTCATGGGGATTTATTCCTTTTCATCTTCAAGTTATGGATATGTTTAACCCACCCAAACCCCAAACTATAGGTTTGGAAGGCATTTGTAAGGATATACCAAAGCATTATGCAATAGATCTTATCCAGTAAATTATTCCAATAATAATGGATTGGAGAGATGTCCTAAGAAGACCTCATCCTCTTTTTCTCCTTGATTCAATCCCTTGATTTATATCATATTATATGCATGCCTTGGAAGAAAATCTAGCCCATTGGCCACTGGTTCCAAGGAAGAGTTTCATTGTTTTTTTTATTTATTTAGGGAATAAAATATACTTTTAATAAATTATGGGGATAGCATTATGTTCCAAGGCAAGTAACCTAACACAACGGATTACCTTTTTGATTCTGCGCCACAAATTCTCTGTATCATTCCATAATGAATGATTTCTTTCCAGGTCCACGACATTTCTACCAAAGTTTTTTCTTCTTTTTTTTTTCTTGAATAGTTATTGGGGCTTTAATTTGTAATTCTTATAAACTTTGAAATTTAAACTACACTTACTTTTTGTACTTCTTTTTCTTTTTTGGTGGTAAAAAGACTAGCTTTTGTAGGCAATCAATCTCTTGCCATCATTAAATATGTGTATATATCACTTCCATTTTTCCAGTGTCATATATCACCATAATAATTGTTGTACCGTCTTTTCCTAAACCAATAGTATATTAGGAAAAAAATAATCATAGAAATCTCCAAATCATGTCATATCACATATGTACGTTGTATGCATAGTAACCTCGTTCATTTAGCTGATTCGAGTTTAAAATTTGAGTTGAGATGTGATTTTATGTGAGAGATTTTTACTGTAGCAAAAAAGTTAGATGTGATTGTTTGTGAGAGCTTTTTACTGTAGAAAAACTTAAATTCTAAACTCGAATCAGCGAAGTGAACGGGGCCTAAATATGCTATACTTGTAAGCTTATTTAAAATGGATAATAAAGTAAACAGTAGATTTACAATAAATAATTGACCGTTTTAAAACTAAATAGTATATTTTTAAAAATAAATTAAGTTAATAATGAGTTTTAAAATTATTTAAAGTAAATAGTAGTTTATCACGTGATTGTTGCATTTCGATTGGTAAAAAGTAATTTATGTGGTAAAAAAAACATTTATTAACGTAAAAAAAAAAATTTATCAATTGTAAAAAAATTACGTGAAAAAATATCTTTTTACTAGTTGTAAATGTGACATTTACATAGTAAATTACTATTTACTTTAAATGATTTAAAATTTAAAATTTATTTAATTTAATTTCATAAATATATTATTTACTTAATTTAATTTTAAAATATGCTATTTAGTTTTGAAGTAAAGAAGCATACGTTTGGTTGGAGGATTCACATGTGATTCGAACAATTTTCGATTTACGTGAATTTTTTGTGAGAGAAAATACTGTAGCGAACCACGAATCATGATTCGAATCAGGGAACGAATCCCTCTACCAAACATTATTTGTCTCTCTTAGGATTTGGATTGAGTTTGAAGCAAAAACAATGGACATACGCTGTGACTAACAACTACGGAAGTGATAACTTCCTTTTTTTGCTACCGAAAACAGTTGACAAACTTCCTATCTTCTTCAATTATTTTACGTCAAACTCCTCGTTAAGAGTAAATGGTTGAATCGAACAAGTTATCCATGATCCCTCCAAGTGTCCGATTCTCCTACCAAGTCCTAATTGCAAACGTTTGATTCATGAATTCAGAATCATGATTCATAACCATTCTTGGTTTACGTGTGTTTTTTATGAGAGAAAATATTGTAACGAACCACGAACCATAATTCCAATCATGGTATGAATCTAGCAACCAAACCAAATGTTAACCCCCATTTTTTTCTTAATTTATGGGTGAACCTGAAATAAAATTTTAGGTCCTATTATCTTTAATAACTACCGTGTCAGTAAAATAATCAAAATTATAGATAGAGAAAGATATAGGGGGCATTTTGAATGATTTCCAATAGATGGAAAGTTGTTTTGAACAAATTGAAAAGTTCAGAAGACATTTTTTAAAAAAAAGATACATAGTTCAAGGGTATTTATAAAATTAATTCTTTACGTTTCCTTTTATATTTGAGTTTTGGAAGATTTCATGCAAAATATTAGTCAAAAATAAATTTTATTGAACTTACCTTTAGAGTACATGAGTTTGAATTTTTAATTTTACTCTTAATTAATACCTTCTTGATTAATATAATTATTTGATTAAAAAAATATTAATTAAGAGTAAAGAGTAAATTCAAACTCATACACTCTTAAGAATATTTATTTGTTTTCTTATTGACACTAATTTTCTCTTACGCTACCACGAGTACAAAGAACAGATAATGAATTTTAGAAAAGAGAGAAAAAGAAAATAAAAAAACTCAAATATATTATAACACCTGCTCTAAATCAGTTTGTGATTTTTTTTGTCGAAGAAAAAAAAGAGAAAAATGTCTTTCGAAAAACACACATGAAAAAATATAGAGTGTGTTTGGAATTCGTTTTAAAATGAATTTGTTTTTTTGTATGCAAATGGGAATGAAGTTTTCAATCTCAAACATAAATTAATTTTAAAAATGTGTTTAGTAGTTTTATCAAGAAATTATTTTCACTATAAAAAACTCATTAATGTCTCTCTCTCTGTGCTCAAGAGTGAAGAAAACAAAAACAAAAAATGAAAAATGACTAAAAGTCATTTTTCATTTCTCTCTCATTTTACACTAAACTAAAAAATCATTTTTATTTATGTTTTTTATCTTTAATTGTGTCAAACGTCATTTATTTCCTTTTTTCATTTTTTATTTCTCAAAAAACTTGAAAAATAAAAACAAAATCAACTTCAAACACGGCCATAAGCATCCTTTAATGTGCAACAGGCCGATGCAGAGTGTAAAATGGCTTTTTGACCACATTTATTGGTTTGAGAGGACTCATCAATCATATCATAGACTTGCATACACCTTAGTTTTTTCTCTAAAAAGTGCGGTTTTTTAGGTCTCGTCTGCTTCGCGGATTTGAGTTTTCAATTTGAGTTGATATGTGACATTTTATGAGAGCTTTTAACTGTAGCAAAAAAAAGTTAGAAGTGACATTTTCTGAGAGCTTTTAACTGTAAAAATCTAGAACTGAAAACTCGAATCAGTTAAATGAATGAGGCCTTAGTAATCTGGGGTGAGACCCATTAGAATAAAAAAAAATAAAAAGTGGGTTTAGAGTTGATTTTTACTTGTTTTTTAAAACGTTTTTACACATTTTTTGAGATACGAAAATGAAAACGGTCTGTAAACCGTGTTTGTTTAGTAAATATTTTAAAAATGAAAACAAAAATAAAAAATAGTGAGAATGATTTTTGTGAAGGAATTAAAAAACGATTGAAATTTTCATTTTATAATATTTATCAATAATGTTATAATATATTAATTAATAATTATAACCAAACACGATTTTATTTTTTTATTATACTCAAAATAATTTTTTAAAAAATTGAATAAATATAATTTTAGAATCGGTTTTAAAATAATTTTTAAAATAATCTAATTTTTACTTTTATATTAAAAACAAAATTATTTTAAAAACGTTTGGTCCTAAAATTTGAAACTTTTTATCCTTTTGTCTTTCTCCTTCCCAGTTTCCCTTCTGCGTATATATTTTCTCTCTTCCACGGAGTCAAAGCGTGGTTGTTGGAAGCAAACTCAAGGTATATATATGGTTGAAACTTGACCCAAACTCAAGCTGGTATTTGGTTCTGTGGTTGAAGATTCTGTCACTAGACCATGTCAAAAGCATTAGTTGTCAAGATGTTAACCGAACCCTCTCGTCATCGGCGTCACGGAAGCCGCAATATTCTCTCATCTTGTTTTCCCACCCACACACTCAATTGCCCACGTGCAATATTGTTTTCCTCTGCGATTACGATTACCCTTCCCATCTTTCTCTAACTACTCTCCACCCAATTTGCTTCAAAAGGATTTGTCGGAAAATCAGTTTGAGAAAACCAGAGCATGGCAAAGAATGTGAGTTTGTCAACTTAGATTGGGACCAACTTTCTTCCCCTTTTCTTCACAAACGTACGCAGCAAACGTTAAAGAATAGCCGGTTCTCTTTCTTTTCACTTTTGAGTGGTTGATGTGTCAACTAATGATTGGTCGGATAGACCATTAGACAAAGAAGGGAATCAAGTTCAGGTTCAGAGAGAGACAGAAAGTAATTTCTTTAGTAATTATTTAGTGGACGTTTATTTCATGAATTTAAAATTATGATTTAAAATTATTTTTAATTTATGTGTATTTTTTATGAGAAAAATATGGTACTAAATTACGAATCATAATCCGAACCATGACATGAATTCTTAAACTAAACGCTTCTTTAGTGGGTCCCACAGCAATTAAGCACCTGTTTAGAAGATTTGAGGAATAAGAACAAACTTTTTCTGGAAAGAAACTTTAAATGTGTTCATTTGCACAATTTAAATTATGACTTAAGTCATATAATTATAGTATTTTTTATATAATTTTAATTTTAATTTTTTTATTATAGTATTTTTTTTATATACACAACTCAAGTCATGACTTAAATTGTACAAATAAACACACTTTTTGAAATTTAAACTATTTTTGAGATAAAAAATATTGTAATAAAATTATGATTTGGATTGAGTATAGCATTCAAACATCCCATAAGCAACTTATTACTCAATCTCATACCGGAGAGTTAAAAAACAATACCGAAACGATACTCTTTCACCATACTATTTCATACGGGAGAGTTAAAAAACAATACCCAAAAATTATCTTTCTCTATACAATTTCAATCCACGGCTCTGATATCCTGCTCCACCGGGGTTGACTTTTGGCCGGCCTCACAGTAAAGAATGCCAAAAATATAGATAAAATATATATTTTTCAAAGATGACAAACAACAAAAATTTCTTAAAAAAAAAAAGAATAAGAAAGACCACAAGAAATATTTTCCTTGATGATGCTCAGTCGACCAAAAAAATTCCTGGATGGGGACGCAGACACGTGTCCATCGGGAATTCCCAAGACCCATCTACCGGGACCCAAAAGTCGATCGCCAGTTCAGCAATTTTCCTTTTTGGCAATCTTCTATGGTTATTCGAATATGCTCTTCGCAGAGGCTAGAATAGTAGAATATTCTTGGATTTATGCCCGTCTAAGACAATCTTAAGGGGGCTAGACACTGTAACACACCAAGAGTGAAAATATATTGATCTTTTAGCATATGTTTGGTAGGTAAGAGAAAGGAAAGAAATTGGTAGGATTTTAATAGGAATGACAATTCAAGTAACGACACGACAATACGATTCAAAACTCACATAAAATTAATGGGTTTTGAGTTTATTATAAATAGATTTAAGTCAAAATCAAGTCGAACCTGTGAAACACGATTAAATAGCATGTCATTTTTAAGTTGACCCGTCAACTCACAATTAACCCGCTGTAACCCGTTTATTAAACGTGTCATATTTAGATAACACGAATACACAACACAATTACAACTCGTTTCTATGTTTATAAATATATATATTTTTAAAGAAAAATAAGTTAAAAAATAGGTTGACACGACCTTATTATCACTCATTTTATAAATGAATTATTAAAAACAAGTTGACACGACACTATTATGACATGTTTAATAAACGAGTTAGTCGTGTCAGCCCACCAATATACATGTCGTATTTAGATTTTGTATTTCGACATGAATAATAAATAAATCGTGTTCGTGTTAGATCTTACCGTGTCAACTAAGAGGATCAACACGACACGACAACATGAATTGTCACTCTTAGATTTTAGAAAGGAAAAGGAAATCTTGAGTTGTTTAGTAGCTAGGATTTTGAGAAGTTATAAATCTATAGGGGCCGTCGTTTCTAATCATTCCAACTTGGGTGAAATGTCAAATAACATATAACATTATAACATCTGCAGAAATTGATAGTAGTTCTATAATTCTCGCTTTCTTCTCTAGCTCTTGCCGTTTTAGTAAACGGATAAGATAAATATTTCCTTCTTCTCAAAAAGAGAGGAAAAAAATTTCCTGAAGATCAGTGTTGATACTTTCCGTGCTGACCGCGACTATATAGCGTATTCAAATCATAAAATGCCTTGCCAAACACTTACTTTGAAGCTCCTTCAAATTGGTCTCGAAGCAACTCGTACTTCTTAAGTTCGGCCATGGACAGAGAAGGAGAAAGGTCTCTCAAGACCTGACAAGTCAGAGCAAGACACCATTCGTTTTGGAAGGCTTCAAGGCAACAATTATTTCGAAATGTAGAGAAAAGAAATGCAAATGCCTAAACCTTAGCGGGGGATAGATGTAAACAGCACATAAATCCCATAAAGCAATCAACCAGTGAAAATGTTCATCATATTCATGTTTGTTGTTGCTTGCCATGGCCCACAACAAACTTCTTGTTTACAACATCAAACTGCCTTATACTTGAAAAGCAGATTACACGTGCAATATAGGACCTAATTACCTAAAGACAACGATGGTCGTACTAAATAGCAGAACTTCACTAGTTCTTGTACCTAAATTCAATGCTCTCATCATCTTTTTCATTTGCATGACAATCTTTCCAAGGTCTTTTTTTTTTTTTTTTTGAAGAACAATCTTTCCAAGTTTTGTGAATTGCTGTATCACTAAGAAAATCTAACCAAAAGATAATGCTTTCAGACTTAATCGATCTTTTATCTGTGAACACTAGTTCTGGTGCTTAAATTCAACGCTCTCATCATCTTTTCGTTGCTCGCATTTAAAGCCACAAACTCAAACTCTAAATTTCTCATGACTAGTATAGAGACATACCTGGACAAAGTCGTCATATTCGACAATGACAGAATCAACTTGATTGTCTGCAGAGGAAGAATCCACATCTGAACTTGAAACCTACAGGAAAGCAAACACGTCTAAGAACAAGTTATTTAAATAGCACCACCAAGTGATTTAGCCAAATCCAAATTTCATCACACACAGCCAAATATATACATACCGTCTATTTATAAGAAAAAAGTTTTTACAGATAGAAACAATCTACTTTTTAACATTACAGAATATGAAACTAAAGTAGGCTCGCCTCTAAACCGCTTGAGTTTTTGGGAAAAATGGTAAACTTATAAATAGCACACGTCATCGAATTGCACATACACTCCCGCTTACAAATTGCTCAAGATATAGGTAAAGTACACCCTTATATTAATTTATTTGGATCAAAACACTGAGTACAGTGACGACATAATTCACCTTGCGCTTTGCTGCATTAAACCAAGCATCTGCACATAAAGCATACATATCTGCACCAGTGAAGTTTGGGGGGCATTTCTTTGCTATTGAGTACAGAGACACGTCTTCATGTAATTTAAACTTCCGGGTGAGTGCTTTGAGAACCCTAGAAGGCGAAAATAAAAATTCAAAGAAAAAGTGTCACAACAATACTGAGGAGATACACTAAAGATAACAGAAGAATTGTAAGAATCACACCTCTCTCTATAAGAAGCATCCGAATTTACTCCAACATATAGAAGCTTATCAAATCGGCCGGGCCGTAGAAGTGCTGGGTCAATTAGATCTGGTCTGTTGCTTGCCCCTATTATGAAGAGATCCTAAAAGAACCGAAAAGAAGCAAGTGAAGTGTCTTTAGTATCAAAGCAAAAGGCAATAAAAAAATAAAAATAGAAAAGAGAGTACATGCTAGATAAAATGATAACCTGTGATGAATCATTTAGGCCATCAATTTCCGCAAGCATCTGGTGAAAAGGTGGAAATTTCCACAATAAGAAACCACAAATCAATTAAAGCAAAAATCTGTGCCACTATGATAGTAAAAAGTATCTAACCTGGGAAACCACTCTGTCCATGACGCCCCCAGAATCCCCTGAGGCACCCCTCGCTGGAGCAAGAGAATCAAGTTCATCAAAAAAGATAACACAGGGGCGTGCTGTTCTAGCCTGCAAATGACATGCAATACTATTATAATCGAGTTCAGACAAATATTTTAAGATTTACATAGGCCTCGTTCACTTCGCTGATTCGAGTTTAGAATTCGAGTTGAGATGTGATTTTATGTGAGCTTTTTACTGTAGCAAAAAAGTTAGATGTGATTATTTAAGAGCTTTTTACTGTAGCAAAACTCGAATTCTAAACTCGAATCAGCGAAATGAACGGGGCCATAGTAAGTACATTACTCGTGCTACTTAACTAATATTTTTATCTATTCCATAAATACAGATTAGACAATATTTAATAAATAGAGATTAGACAATATTTAACCTTCTGAAAAATGTCTCGAACATTTTTCTCTGATTCTCCTATGTACATGTTGATTAGTTCAGGTCCTTTTACACTGAGAAAGTTGAGGGAGCACTCCGTTGCAACAGCTTTTGCTAATAAAGTCTGATATTCAAAAAATAAGAATTTTAACCCAAAAAAAATGCGACCTTTTTTTTCCTGAAAGAAAAAGGTGCTACTTAAGAAATCCTTTCATAAATCTGATACACCATAACTTACTTTCCCTGTTCCAGGTGGTCCATACAAAAGAACACCAGAACGCTTGCGCAGGCCGGAGGAAAATAAATCCTTATGCAGAAGAGGCAACTATACACGCAACAAGTGACAGTGAGTATGACATTCTATTGGCTTCAAGCAAATAGGAAAGGAGCATAGATAGAACAATCATCCACGAGACAAATGACATTATAAGCAACCTTTTCGGTTAAGAATATGCAGTCCACATTACTTAAATGCAATAGCATCTTCAGTATCTTTAATATGTGAACAAGCACTCCAGAGGAGCAAACTTTTCTGTTCTAGTTTTGCGAAGGAAAAAATTAACACCCACTCTCCCAGATTGCATAATTAACCTAAAAATTTTATTTGGAAATTCAAACAGTAATTCCAGTGGCATGTGATATGAACAATGCACTTCTAATAATATAAAGACTCTACCTGAACAGTATCCAGAATTGATTTCTTGACATCCTCAAGCCCACCGACATCTTCCCATTTGACGTTGGGAACCTACAGTAAAAAGGAGTGTTAAAGTCTTCATGTGTGAAGCAAATAACATTTTCAAAAACTAATTTCCTACTCAATTATTATGTAATTCTTATTTTTTGACAAATGAATAAAAATAATAATAGCTGAGCAACAATTTGCTCTCGCATAACATTACAATAATGAAATACCATCAGATCACCGACCTTTGGAGTACCCAATGCTGATGCATTCCTTTTCTTTGACCTCTCCAGTGCTTTTGTCAAGTTTTCTTTCCCCAGCATCTGAGGCACAACTTCAATAGACTTACTGTCAGGTTCTTCTTGAAGTTGTACAGACTGATTTAATTTCTTGGGCTCATCTGGATCGATAGAAATATTGCCACTGGAAAATAAGCTAGCACCAGCATCAGCTATCAAAGCATGCATATCCCTGGGCATGAAACCAGATGTCTGTCCAACTACATCCTTTATAAAATCTTCCATATCAATCTGCAAAAACAATCTGACCCATCAAAGTCAGCAGTGACAAACAAAAGGACTGTACCTACCATATCAATGTGAAGGGCCTTGACAACCTCAACAAAAGAGAAGCAATAGAAACTCGTATGCAATAAATTATATACATCGACTTATGGGTTTCACATAAATCTTTCCCAAAGAAGACTAAAAATAAATACCTTGCAATTCAGATAAACATGCTACCCCTGTACATTCATAGATAGATAAATAGAAAACTTAAACAAAGCTTGAATTTGAGTAATTCTATACATTCCGTAATTCAAGTGCTCAGACACAAGCTTGCCACATTCAAAGAAGAAATATGAAACATTCATAACCACAAGACCGGAGAGGGATTGTATCACAGTCATTAAAAGTTCAATGGGAGGGGGATGATGTGGTGGAAAGAACACATACATTAGGAAGGAGTTGAGAGACATTTTGCAGTGATTGTGACAGCAGTTTAACCCTTTGATCTTCGGTCAAAGAACCCATGCTTATTTCGTGGCTAAAGCAACGCCTAATAGTTGGTGGTAGCCCTTCAGATGCATCAGCAGCTGCAATAAACAGCACTTGATGTCTCTGTACATCTACACCATTGCTCCCCTGCTGCATCAACATGTTATGAGAATCATCCACCATGACTGACTAAAACCTTGTTCTTAAGATTAACTCAATATAAATACCAAGGTATATTATCTCAATTCAATTATAAAAAAAAAAGATCATAAACATAATGGTATCTTTACAATACCTAAATCTAGACGCCATTGGTGACACTTAAACGATGTATGATTCAAAAGTTCTACCTTATATGCCAACCCTTTTTTAATAGAAAAATATATAAAAGCAACAGGATGGATGCTAATAAATCTCCTGTTGTTTCATTTAAATACTCTGCATAATTATTTACTTGTAGATCCTGTAACATTAACAACATGGCATATCGAAGTAGTCTAAGGGTCTTAAAAGTGCTGGAGTCTTTTGAAAAAGACGCTGTTATCTCCAAAATATGTATTCTTAGTATTTTTTTTTTTTTTTCTGTACAGAGGAAGATGGATAACATGTGGGGTAGAGAATTTCAAGTGTCATTACCTCACCCTTCACGTGAAGAACCATGATTTCCTTTTATCAAAAACAATGTGATCTAACACAATTGATGATGTATTAAGTACACATAAGACAAGAAAAGACACAATAAATAACTGAATCTTACAAATTCACCATTTAGTTCTCCAGCAGAATTGATGTCTCCATCTTCAGAAACTGGCTCAGTAAATTCTCTGATAACTGATGCAATTTCAGAAGTGATGCCCATATGATCACTTGGTGAACCTTCTTGAGAGCCCAAATTCCGGAACACATCAAAATGGCGGAGAAGAAGTATTGTAGGTGAGTAACTGTTTAAGAGAGTAGATGATGAATGAGGAGCAACAGTACGAATTTAAAAAATATACAGATCTTGGAGTGATCTAATGCATATATCTTTTATTGTAACATAAAATTAATTCCTTGAATTTGAACCTAGACTTTTAGATAATTAGTTTACAGTTAAAAGTTTGGTAAATTTAACCAACAACATAGAATATCATGAAAGTAACATATCAATTGTGAACTCAAAGTCAAAACTACTATTGGTCACTGTCTAAATTTCTCTTGTAATATACAAATTGCTTTACCGTTGAGCTGTACTGAAAGCTTGAGCTAGTGCAACCGATGTCTTTCTCTCTGATGATGCCATTAGGTTATGACAGCTGTATTCAACTACATGCAGACCCAACCTGCGAGCAACGTAGCTAATAACAGTCCTCTTCCCACACCCTGAAGCAAAATATTATATCTTAACACAACTCTTTGTCGGTAACCATTCTTTTTAAATAATAACTATTAAGGGGTTTTGTTAGAACCCCAGTAATTCTGGGTTGAACTTTTATTGAAATTTCTCAGAAGGAAAAACTGAATGAAATTACAGATAGGAGGAATTCGAGGTTCCTCTGCCTCCCTAATTCTAGACTGTAATGACTACCAATTTCCTACCTCTCACTCCTCCGTCTCTCCCCTTA